CTGCTGGTAATGTTTTATTCCATCTTTAAATGTTCATTAGTGTGAAACTCAATGGTTTACTTACCCTACAAGGTATTCATAAAACTTTGATGCATGAGGCAATGGAAAAGATGGATGCAAGTATAAAACTATCTGCTATGCTCTCAAAGGCTGCAGCTAGGATGATGTTATTATACCACACGCATAAGGTGTTGTATAGCGTGTGAGGAAACTTTTGTAGATGTTGTATGGCCATTGACATTTAGCTCTGTACCAGTTTGTCAATCACAAAATTGAAGCCTAGAGAGGTTAAATAACTTTCCCAGGTTCACACAGAAAGTCAATAGGCTATGTTTGAACTTGGATCTTCTGTCAAAACTTCTAAGCTTCAAGCCAGGGAGACAGACTTATGTGCACATGGCAGGAGGGGTTGTAGAAATTTTAGAGAAGAAAGGAGGGTGCTAAGTTTGGACTAGATGAGGGATCTTGACCATAAAAGTGGTGCTGATACAGAGGAAGTGAGGTCCTGACTTCCCTTCCTCCTTTCTCTAATTCTTCTCTGACTCTGTTACAGCAATGATCTCTCTATAGCATAAATTTGCCTAAGTCACTTTCATGCTTAAAACCCTTCCTTGGCTTCCCATTGTGTAGATGCTGAGGATCAAAATCACTGATGTCTGGATTCACAGGGCAGTGGCACCACAGGAGAGGAGGATGGTTGACTCCTCCAGGATTGGGCCATTGCTGATAGAAGTGATGGAGAGGTAGAAGTGTTGGTGACTGAGAGGATTCAATTCAGGAAAGGGACAAAGAAAAGACAGACAGGAAGGGAGAGAGACTGATGGCCTGAGTTCCTAATGAAAGCAAAGAGTGGCTACAGTGGGAGGCCTAGGCGTGCAGGATGGATTGAGAAGAGCCAGGGGAGAGTAAGATGTGGGCTCTGCCTTCGGAGGAGCCGGCTTCAGATAATGCTAAAGTACATCAAGTGACTCTCCCAGTGACTCCCTGGGAGGATCATCTGCCTCTCCACCCAAAGAGCCCACCCCTGCCACCCATGACTATCTCACCTTGCAGAGGTCTGAGACAAAGCAGTAAGAAGAGAGCTGGTTTTGAGCATGCTACACTGATGACTCTATAGAAAGGGGCCACGAGCTAAGGCCCTCAGGTGGCTTTTGGAATCTGAAAAAGGTAGGAGAGCAGATGATACCCCAGACCTTCAGAGGGGGTACATGGCGCTCACTCGCTTTAGACTACCAACCTGATGAGCTGGAGGACAGCACCTGTGGGTGTTAAGCCACTGCATGTGTGGTCATTTGTTGTGGTAGTCATCAGAGACTAACACAGTGACTGTGACAGCGGAGAAGGAGGCCTTTGTATGACTCTGTACATTTAGACTCTGTTCCACAACTTACTCAACACCAACTCAGTGTCTCCAGAGCTCAACTTGTACTTCTCTAGCCAACTCCACGTGCCACTATTCAAAATATTTATTGTTCTGTTTAAGTGCGTGAGTGTGTGTGTGTGGTGTGTGTTGCACACACCACACACACACACACACGCACACACACACACACACACACGGGTGTAGGTAGGTAGCCACAGAGTCTAGAAGAGCACATTAGATCTGGAGCTAGCATTACAGGGAGTTGTGAGCCACTTGATGTGATTTCTGGGAACTGAAATTGGGTCTTCTGGAAGAGCAGCAAGCTCTCATTAACTGATAAGCCATTTCTCCAGCCCCATGGAGATGAAGGATGTTTTGAGAGAAGGTCTGTTGCTCTGAATGGGAATCAGAAACAGTGGAAAAGGTCATAGTTATGGGGTCTACATGGGAAAATGAGAAAGGCTGTTCTTCCATTATTAAGAAAAGGAGCAAGAACAAGAGGAAAAGAGGGAGAAGAAGAGGAAGAGAACTTCAGGATGGCAAAAGGCTGACCACTGGATGTGATACAATAGAAGGTTTAAACATTGGGTGTGACTCTGCAGTTTTGTGCCATTTTTCATTTTATGGTATGTATTTTCTTGCCAAGAACCCACCAACATTTTTGGCAAAATATTCCACATTCTTGAGTTCATTGGTTAGAGTTTGGAAATCACAGATTGTTTTTTACCAGTAAATCAACTTAATATAGAGCAAAGATGATATAGAAAGAAAGGGGAGTACGGTGGCTGAGACATCCATGCATGCATGCATCCATCCATCCTTTCCTTATGCATCTGTCATCCATTATCTATTGTGCCCTCCCTCCCTCCCTCCCTCCCTCCCTCCCTCCCTCCCTCCCTCCCTCCCTCCCTTCCTCTTTCCCTCCTTCTCTCCCTCCCCCTCCCTCCTTCCCTCCTTCCCTTCCATCCTTCCTGTTTTCTTCCTTTCCTCCCTTCCACTCCTTCCTTCCTCTCTTTCCTGTCCTCTCCCCCTCTTCCTTCCATACATTCATCTACCCACATCTGTTATGTACATGACTCTGTTCTGGGTCTGGGTTAACACATTAAACAGGAAAGCCAGGGAACTCATTCCCAGAGGCTTCTAATGTATGAAAGGCAGATCATAAGTAATTAACTTACTGGATTATAGTGAAGAGTTCAAGCTGTCAACAACAGCATGCTGGCATGAAAACTGGCCAGAATTATAGAGCAGGGCTTTTGAACTGTGGTCCCTGGACATGTAGCATTAATACAACCTGAGAACTGTTGGGGCTCTAAGTTCTCAGGGCCTACTCCAGGCTGGTTCAACTTGAGATCTGAGTGTGGGGCCTAGCAGTCTGCATTTTAAACAGATAAATGCAATTGCATATTGAAATGTGAGGTCCACAGTTAGAGATTGACCAGATAGTCTTCTGAAGTAGGATGATCAGGAAGTTCCTGAGAGCAGGTGGCATATGAGTTGAGATCTCAGTGATGAGAGGTATTAGTGACTCAAATATAAAAACATACAGCCTGCAGAGGAAAGAACAAGTGACCAGTCCTATTGTAGGGTAAAGTCTGGAGTTTTAAGGGACTGGGAAAAAGCAAAGACCATTATGACTGGTGTATGGTGTGACATCATGTAGATTAACAATGGAAATCAGCACTGGGCACACTAAGTCTCTTTATATGGAGATACAGCCCTTGCCTATTTGCATTATAGGGTATATATTGATATTCTTTTCTGTTAATTAAAACCTTAAATTAGCACTGGAGAGGCAGCTTGGAAAGAAAAGTGTTGACTGTAAGCCACAAGAACCTGCATCTTGGAGTCCCCAGAGCCCATGGAAAGCTGGGGTGTGGTACCATCCATCTGTAATCTCAGTGTTACTACCATGAGATGGGGGGCAAAGATGAGAGCATCTCCAGAAGCTCATGGTCAGCTAGCCCAGAGTAAGAGGACGAGAAACAGTGTTTTAAACAAGGAGGAAGGTGAGAACGTCTAATCTCCACATGTATGCATGGCACATGCATGTCCATGCACATATCCCCACATCATATATACATACATATATACACACACGGATGTGTTCTTTTTTGGTAAAGCTTAAGTGAATATAAGCCACAGAACTAATGCATACAAGTAATTTTTCACATAAATGCATTTTTGACCCATAATGTATTTTTAAAACTTCCATTGATTCTTTGTGAATTTCACATCATGCACCCCAATCTGATTCATATCTCCCTCCCCTCATGCCTGCCTTCCACCCTTGTAACCCTCCCCACAACAGAGAAAAAAAAATCCCTCTGAGAAGCTGTAGTGTGTCATAGCGTATTCCACAGTACACTTTTTTTGTCCACATTTCTTTTTTTTCATTTTGTAGTTTATAAATTATAAGATATACCTAACATCCAGTCCAGGGGCCAGTTTTCCCACCTGTCATAGGTAGCAAGTGGCAAGGGTGGGGGAGGGCATCATTCTGTTGCCCACACAGGTGCAAGGCAGGCAGGTTGTGGGTCCAGCTCTCCTGTGTTCACACCCTCTGGGCTGGGTCAGCTCAGGTGAGGTGTGAGGCCTGTTCTCCTGAGGGCTGCAGCTGGAGAGGGGGCAGGGACAGCTTTTCTGCTCTCATGCCTCCAGTGTCTGCTCTCCCATGATGTCTGCACAGCCCTCAGATATTGACATGTCCCCAGGGTGGAGGCCCAGCCTAGAAATGCCTGCCTGGCCTTTGGTGGTAGCTGTTGCAGGGCCACAGACCCAGACATGGCTCTCGGTGGCAGCACAGGCCAGGACCTCACCATGGTCCCATGTGGCATCACTGGCTACTCACATCAGGCTGTTCCTCACTACCCTCCAGTCTCCAGTTCTGCCTCTCTTCATTGTGCCCATGTCCTTCTGTTTCTCTTTCTCATGTATTTCTCTACCATTGACTTGCTCCTCTTAGTGGTGCCCGGGGTCTCAGTGTCTGGGATCATCTCAGGAGTGATCTCAGGAGGGATATGGCTTGTTATGCCTTATGAGGCCAGGCAGGGGTCATCTCAGGCATGGTCTGCCCCATAGGCCTGTACAGTGGTCATCTCAGGCTAGTTTCCTGTCTGGACCTCATGTTGCCAGTCTGGTGGTCATCTAGGGCTCACTGCTTGCCTGGCCCAACCAAGTGGCCCCATGAGAGGACTGTCTGTCTCAGATCCCAACTCAGCCCAGCCCACAGTCCCAGGTGTGTTCCTTTTTGTTCCTGGCTTACTCCCTGTCCTGGGAGCCCATTCAGGCCTATGTGGTGCTAGACTGGTACTTGTCTTAGGCTAGCTCCCTGTCCAGGCGCCCTGATGCTGGTCTGGTAGCTGTCTAGTGAATTCTCCTCGCCCAGCCTGCATCCAAGTGGCCCCATGCTAAAGTGGTCTGTCCCAGGCTCATTCCTGCCTGATTCCAGGAATGAGCCTCATTCCAGGCTCATGGTTCCAGATGGGGTTCTTCTAGTCTCTGTCTTGCTTCTGGTCCTAGAAGTCCTTTAGGGCCTGTGCAGCACCTGAATGCTGCTCATCTTAGGCTACCTCCCTGTCCGGGCTCTCTGGAACAGAATTGGTGGTTGTCTCAGGCTTGTTTTTCCCTCTCAGGGAATGTTAGTGTACTAATAATTCAGATGTTCATAGATCAGAACACGGAGCACAGACATGGCCTCTTTCCTCTCTGCCACCTACTGACGAACCTGTGACACAGCAGCCACACCTGCAATACCTCTAGGGACAGGACAGTTGTGATCTCTTGAGCAGTGTGAGAGATCACTGTGGGTCAGAGTCAAGGGCTTAATCCCATCACAATGCGCTCATTGCTTCTCTCTGAGTCTGTCTCCCCATCTGTAAGGCTGGAGAGAGGAGGACAGGGCACAGCCAGCCAATCTGCACCCTGAATCAAGACTGCTGATGCCCTGTGGGGAAGATTAGCAACTCTCTGCTGTTCTAGGTTCTCTGGGAGCCACTTTCTCTCCTCTTCTTGATTTCATGATAGACAGACATGCCTGGGGCAGGGCAGGCAGAAAGAGGCACACGGGTGCCTCTTGAATTGTCCATTGATGTCAAATTGCACTTTTGAATACAGAGTAGTGCCAGGAGCTCGGATTCCTGCCCCAGTGAGAGTTTTCTTTAGAGTTATTGCCCTGGTGCCATGGCTGGCAGTTTTAGTTTTAACAAATGGTTGTCTCAGGAAAAGCTCAGCAGACAGAATAGCAAAGTCATAAGCACAGAGTTTATGCTGACTGTGTAGGATGGAAGTGGAGAAGGACCAAGCATGGACCAGCGGGCAGTGAAGAGCTTGCTGAGCCCTTTATCTCAAGTACATTGCCTTCTCTGAGCCCCATTTTTCTCATCAGTAAAATGCAACACCATTTAAACTGTTAAACAGATGGCAGGTGCCAAGTGGCTGGCACACAGTAGGTGCTCAACAAACATGTTTGCCTTCCATCCCTTCCTTGGGAACAGGCAGACAGTTCCCTTTCCTCAGCCAGCAAGCCCCACTGTGCCTACAACTCTGGGTTTATTTGTAGTAATTAGACTTCGGCAGCCGACAGTATCCAAACCTGCAGTGTTATTGGTTCCTCAAGCTGTTTCACTTGATATACAGTTGGGTGGTAGATGACAACTTGTTTATTCAGTAAGGCTCCGTGGAGTAAACACACAGAGAAGCCCATTTGTCTTGTCTTTTGCCGTCACCCCCACATGGTCAGAAGGAAGGCTTTCCTCCTGTCTTCCTGGCAGCTTCCTCCTCCAGCATCTCTTGTTAGACCCTTGTCTGCCCTTGCCTGGCAATGCCTGAGCTGCCGCAGCCCTCTGACCATGATGCCCACAGAAATGTTCAGGCTGTACGGACCACTCCCAAGCTTCCATCCCTAACCTAAATGGCTGCCTACAGTTCCACATTAGATACAACCCTTTAGATGCCCACCCACCTGCACAGCATGCTAGACTGAAACTACCTTCCTTCCCACACTCAGTGCTTCTGGCTTTCTGGTTCCAGGCATTGGTAAGTCTGGGTATTCATTCCCTGAACTCCAAGCCCCAGTGCCCCCTCTAAGTGTCTTACCCTTTCTTGCATGCATGTCCCCACCAAAGGCCCTGGCCTTGTTCTGTCTAGGCTTTCTACCATGGTTGGTGAGATGGTTCAGTGCACAAGCACTTAGCACCAGGCCTGACGACCTGAGCCCAATTTGTTTTTGAACCCACTCGATGTAAAGAGGAAACTAACGCTCTTGAGTCATCTTCTTCCTTGCACATGTGAACCATGGCACACATGTACCGTGGCGTGCACACTCGTCCCCCAATAAATAAGCAAATAAATACATAAATAAATACAAAACTAAAAAGAAGTAAAACATTACAACTGCCATTCCACTTAGCTCCAGCCATGACCCCTCTGAAGAAAGATTCTCCTGTATTTCCACCATCTACTCCCTCCTTCTGCAGGACAGTGGCCAGAGGATGCTTCTAGAACATACCCAGAATGATAGGTCTGAACAAGGTGGAGGAAGAAATTTATGTGGGCCAGAAAAAAATGAACTCAGGGTGATTTGTTTTTTCTTCTAGTTTTATCATTATTTTCTTACTAGAGGATAGAAAGGCCACCCATAAACAGATTCAGGGACAGTCTCCACTCCAGTTGTTGGGGAACCTGCATGAAGACCAAGCTGCATATCTGCTACCTCTGTGTAGGGGGCTTAGGTCCAGTGCTCAGTCTTTAGTTGGTGGTTCAGTTTCTGGAAGTCCCCAAGTGTCCAGGTTAGTTGGCTCTGTTGGTCATCCTGTGGAGTCTCTGTCCTCTTTGAGTCCATTAATCCTTCCCCTAACTCTTCCATAAGACTCCCAGAGCTCCATCTGCTGTTTGGCTGTGGGTGTCTGCATCTCTTTCTGTTGGCTGCTGGGTGGAGCCTCTCAGAGGACTGTAATACTAGGCTCCTGTCTGCAAACATAACAGAGTATCATTGATAGTGTCAGGGATTGGTTCTTGCCCATGGGATAGGTCTCAATTTGGGCCAGTCATTAGTTGGCCATTCCCTCTGCCTCTTCTTTGTCTCTTGTAGGCAGGACATGTTTTGGGTCAAAGGTTTGGTGGGCGGGTTGCTGTCCTTATCCCTCCAATGAGAGTCCTACCTGGCTACAGGAAGTGGCTACTTCAGGAACTATATTCCCCACTGCTAGGAGTCTCAGCTAGAGTTGCCCTCATAAACACCCTGAGGCTTTTCCCCATCCTATGTCTCAAGCACAACTCCGAGATTGCCCCAACTACCCACTCCCTGTTTCCGATCTCTTTCCCCGCTCTCCCTCCACATCCCCTCTTCTACCATGTTCCCTCCATCCACACACCTCCAATATCTATTTTATTTCCCCTTCTGAGAAAGATCCAGCCATCCTCCTCTGGGTCTTCCTTGTTATTTGGCTTCTTTGCATCTATGGGCTATATCATGGTTATCCTGTACTTTATGGCTAATGTCCACTTATCAGTGAGTACACACAATGCATGTCCTTTTGGGTCTGGGTTACCTCGCTCAGGATATTTTCTAGTTCCATCCATTTGCCTGCAAAATTCATGATGCCTTTGTTTTTAATGACTGAAGAGTATTCCATTGTATAAATGAACCTCCTTTTCTTTATCCATTCTTCAGTTAAGGGACATCTAAGTTGTCTCCAGTTTCTGGCTATTATGAATAAAGCAGCTATGAACATAGTTGAGCAAGTGTCCTTGTGGGATGGTAGAACATCTTTTGAATAAATGCCCAAGAGTAGTATAGCCGGGTCTTGAGGTAGACCTATTCCCAATTTTCTGAGAAACTGCCAAATGGTCTTCTAGAGTAGTTGTGCAAGTTTGCACTCCTACGAGCAATAGAGGAGTGTTCCCCTTTCTCCACATCCACACCAGCCTGTGCTGATCCTTGAGTTTTTGATCTTTGCCATTTTGATGGGTGTGAAGTTGAATCTCTGGGTCTTTTGATTTGCATTTCTTTGATGGCTAAGGATGTTTAACATTTCTTTAAGTGTTTCTCGGCCATTAGAGATTCCTCTATTGAGCATTCTCTGTTTAGGTCTGTGTTCCATATTAAAATTGTGTTATTTGGGTTGTTGGTGTCTAACTTCTTGAGTTCTTTATATATTTTGGATATTAGCCCTCTGTCAGATGTAGGGTTGGTGAAGATCTTTTCTCAATCTGTAGGCTGTCATTTTGTCCTATTGACAGTGTCCTTTGACTTACAGAAGTTTTATAGTTTCATGAGGTCCCATTTATTAATTATTGATCTTAGTTCCTGAGCCATTGGTCTTCTGTTTAGGATGTTGTCTCCTGTACCAATGAGTTCCAGCCTGTTCCCCACTTTCTGTTCTATTAGATTTAGTGTATCTGGTTTTATACTGAGGTCTTTGATCCACTTGGATTTGAGTTTTGTGTAGGGTAATAAATATGGATCTATTTGCAGTCTTCTACAGGTAGACATCAAGTTAGTCCAACACCTTTTGTTGAAGATTCTTTCTTTTTTCCATTGTATAGTTTTGGCTTCTTTGTAAAAAAAAAAAAATCAAGTGTCTACAGGTGTGTGGGTTTATTTCTGGGTCTTTAATTCAATTCCATTAATCAACTTGTCTGTTTCTATACCAATATCATGCATTTAAAAAAGTTACTATTGCTCTGTAGTACAGCTTGAAGTCAGGGATAGTGATACTTCCAGAAGTTCCTTTATTGTTCAGGATTGTTTTAGCTTTCATGGGTTTTTTGGTTTTCCATATGAAGTTGAGAATTGTTCTTTCAAGATCTGTGAAAAATTGTATTGGAATTTTGATGAGAATTGAGTTGAATTTGTAGATTAGTTTTGGTAAGATGACCATTTTCACTAAATTAATTAACCCTACCAATCCATGAGCATGGGAGATCTTTCCATCTTCTGATATCTTTATCAATTTCTTTCTTCAGAGACTTGAAGTTCTTGTCATACAGGTCTTTCAGTGGCTTGGTTAGACCAAGATATTTTATATTATTTGTGGCTGCTGTGCAAGGCATTGTTTCCCTAACTTCTTTCTCAGCTCATTTATCATTTGTATAAAGGAAAGATACTGATTTTTTTGAGTTAATTTTGTTTCACTTTGCTGAAGGTGTTTATCAGCTGTAGGAGTTCTCTGGTAGAATTTTTGGGGTCACTTATGTATACTATCATGTCATCTGTGAATAGTGATACTTTGACTTCTTTCCAATTCGTATCCACTTGATCTCCTTTAGTTGTCTTATTGCTCTAAGGAGAACGTCAAGTACTATATTGAAGAGTTAAGGAGAGAGTAGACAGGCTTGTATTGTCCCTGATTTTAATGGAATTTCTTTAAGTTCTCTCCATTTAATTTTATGTTAACTATTGGCTTGCTGTATAATGCCTTTATTGTGTTTAGGTATGTACCTTTTATTCCTGATCTCTCCAAGGCTTTTTAATAGGGAGGGGTGTTGGATTTTGTCAAAGGCTCTTTCAGCATCTAATGAGATGATCATGTGTTTTTTCTTTCAGTTTGTTTATATAGTGGATTGTTTTGATGGACTTTTATATATTGAACCATCGCTGTGTCCCTGGGATGAAATCTACTTGATCATGGTGGATGATGTGTTTGATGTGTTCTTGGATTCAGGTTTTTTTGAGTATTTTTGTATCAATGTTCATAAGAGAAATTGCTTTGAAGTTCTCTTTCTTTGTTGAGTCTTTGTGTGGTTTAGGTATCAGGGTAACTGTGG